TTAATAATTTATTCTTTGAAGCTACACGTATTGCAGGGTGTAGTGCAACTTGTATTGATAATATTTTTACAGGTGTTGTACCAATCAACAAATCAATAATTCAAAAACTTAGTTCAGATCACTGTGGACAACTGGTTTCGTTACCTTATATGCACAAAAAACAGGTAATTGAGAAAATTGTGTTTGTTCCTATTAATGCAAAACGCCTGGAGAGATTTAGAAGTAATATGTTAAAAATCCTTCCATCCCTTTCTTATAAGAACAATGCAGACTATTTATATAGAGAATTATTTACCTTTATAAACAATGAATTTAATAAAACATTCACTTCTAAAACATTCTCCAGAAACAGTCGCAAGGCATTTAATGAGTGGGCGACAGTAGGAATTCATAAAAGCAGACGCAGGTTATATGACCTTTACCATGAAAGATCGTATAATCTTTCCGATGCTTTTAAAGAATATGTAAAAAATTATTCTAAAATGTTTAAAAGAGTTTGCTCCACAGCCAAATCATTACATATTAGTAACAAAATTAAGACGGCTAAGAATAAAATTAAAATGACGTGGAGTATAATTAACAGCGAAACCGGTAAAGAGAAACCTCGTAACTCTAACTATCAATTAAAAATTAATAATGAATTGACTAAATCAAATCAAGAAGTTGCAGCGGTGTTTGAGAAATATTTTACTGATGTTCCTATCTTGACAACAGAGTCATGGAATACTTCTCCAACTGTCGCCGAGTCATTACTTAAACAGAATGTTAATACCTGTTTAAAAGAATTTAGATTTGAAAAAGTATTACCGCATAATATTGTAAAATACTTCAAAACCATTGATGTAAAGAAAACCGCAGATTTGTGGGGGATTTCCGTTACAGTGATTGCGTCCATAATAGATTTAATTGCACCTCATCTTGCTATTATTTTTAATACTTGTATCGATTCTGGTGTGTTTCCTGATTTAATGAAGTATAGTAAAGTAATACCTTTATTTAAATCTGGTAGTACATTGGACCCTGCTAATTATAGACCTATTTCTGTACTACCAACTCTCAGTAAAATTTTTGAAAAAATAATTTTGGATCAATTGTTAATTTTTTTTAATACAAATAAATTACTTCATAAAAATCAATTTGGTTTTACAAGGGGTCGCTCGACGTCTGACGCCAGTGTTGAGCTTATGAAATATATTTTTAATGCCTGGGAGGATTCACAAGATGCCTTAGGTATTTTCTGTGACCTTTCCAAGGCTTTCGATTGTGTTCATCATGATACATTAATCAGGAAACTACAACATTACGGTGTAAAAAATTTGGCGCTTAAACTTATTACTTCATATTTAAGTAACAGAACTCAAAAAGTCGTCATTAATGGTAAATGTTCCTCCGGATCGGTAGTATCAATGGGCGTTCCTCAGGGCTCGATTCTTGGCCCATTCCTGTTCTTAATCTATATTAATGACTTACCTTATCTTGTAGGGGACAATCACGATATAGTATTATTTGCTGACGATACCTCCTTAATTTTCAAACTGAAACGGCAGTCAATTAAATATGACGATGTAAATAATGCTCTATCGAAACTAGTACATTGGTTTAACGCCAACAATTTGCTCTTAAACGGCAATAAGACAAAATGTATTAAATTTACAATACCTAATGTAAAACATTCGAAAACCAATGTGCTCTTAAATGGGGAGGAGTTGAGTCTTGTGGATACCACTGTTTTTCTCGGTATTACTATTGACGCGAAACTTCAATGGGGCCCCCATATATCTAAATTAGCAAGCAGACTTAGTTCTGCAGCATATGCTGTAAGAAAGATTAGAAGTCTCACAGATGTTGAGACAGCTAGGTTAGTGTATTTTAGTTACTTTCATAGCGTAATGTCTTATGGAATTTTGCTATGGGGTAATGCGACTGATATTGAAGCTATATTTGTTTTGCAAAAGAGAGCCGTACGGGCGATTTATAATCTAAATTGTAAAGAGTCCCTTAGAGAAAAATTTAAAGAAATAAACATATTAACTTTGGCATCGCAATATATTTATGAAAATGTAATGTATGTACATAAAAACATAAATAGCTTTAATAAGAATAAGGATGTTCATACCTTAAACACTAGGAACAAACATAAGCTTGTAATGCCACTTACAAGACTCCACAGAATTAGTAATTCATTTATGGGGCAATGTATACGCTTTTACAACAGAATCCCAGAACATGTTCAAAGTTTGTCAATAAACAAGTTTAAAAGTTATATTAAAGAAAAACTGTACAAAAAGGGTTATTATAATATCAAGGAATACATGAATGAAAATAACCCCTGGGAATAAGGTGATCGCCACCATGCTGGTTCTATGAAAATTCATTTAAAATTGTATAAACAAAATTATTGTTAAGTGAAATTATGTTTAAAAAAAAAGTCCCGCTGGGTTTCTTGCTGGTTCTTCCCAGGACAGAGGTATTTTCCGAACCAGTGGTAAATAAAATAATGACTTTCAATAAGTATTATGTAATAATCCATATTGAATAAAAATCATTCTATTCTATTCTATTCTATTCTATTCTATAGTGTGATCGGAGAGTTTTTGTGTTCTTCTGCGGCGGGTCTTGCAGAACTTAGCTCCGACCGCATGGACAGTTTCCACGAGCTTGTCATTCATATCGTCCACTTCATTGCAGTCTTCTAGGCACTGAAAACGGTTTTGTAACTCGAGCTGAAAGTTTTCGGGACTTTGGAACAGAGCACGAGGGGGACGGAGCGTTGACTTCATTAGACGAGACCTCTCCAACTTAACGTTTAGGTTCAGTGTGCCTCAACCATTCGGTGATCGCTACCAGTTTTCACCCTCGCGATCACGGAGACATAACTGAACAGTTGTCGCCTCGTCGTCATAATGAAGTCAATCTCATTTTTTATCGAACCGTCGGGGCTCGACCAGGTCCACTTCCTGTGGGACCGCTTCTGGAAGAAAGAGTTCATCATAAAGAGTCCCTCTTTCTCCATGAAGTCGGCCAGCTGCTGGCCCCTTGGGTTCCGTTGCCCTATTCCAAATTTCCCTACTTTCAGCTCACCGTTCTCTCTTGTGCCTAGTTTTGCATTGAAGTCTCCCATTAACACCGTATATTGGGTTTTGGAGGAATGCATGGCTCTAAAGATATCCTCATACATTTCCTTCACCTCCTCATCGGGGTGTGCCGAGGTTGGTGCGTAAACCTGTATGACCTTCAGCGAATACCGTTTGGTGATTCTGAGTATAAGGTACGCAACCCTCGTCGACACACTCCCAATCTTTAAAACGTTGTTAACGAGAGACTTGTGGACGATAAATCCGACACTTCCTTGGGACAGATGGTCGCCCTCCCGGTGATAGAGCAAGTTGCCGGATTCAAGGATTACCGTGTCCTCCCCCTCTCTTCGGACTTCGGATAATCCTATAATATGCCAGCGCAACTTGTCTATCTCTTCTTCCAGCTCCACGATCTTCTCGTCAGTCCTCAGGGTGCGTGCGTTATACGTTGCCAGGTCGAGTCGTCTAAGGTGGCAACCGAACCTCCACCGGAAATTCTTAGCACCCCCTGCCCCGCCGTTACCATGGTCGCCACCGTAGCCAGGAATAGCGGGGCCGCCGGGGCCTGGGTGCCGTCTGTTTGTTGCTTTAGTCATTGGGGGGTATTTGCCATAGTTGCCACGCTTGACGAGCGGGTTGGCAACCGCAGTTTTTTTATTGTAATTTTGGCTATTATCAGGAAGATGCTGCTGCCCATCCCCTGCCTGTTTCCCTTTGTCGCCTTTTACGACACCCACGGAAGGATATGGGGTAGTGGATATTCTTAACCGCCACTACACGGCAAGCTAATATAAAAAATATTTAACCAGCATGTATTCTTTACTATATTTTGGCTTTTTAATTATTTCAGGAGCTGCTTCTTCCATACCTTGCTTTGTTTTACAGTAAGTATGATCATTATAATAGTCAGTGATGGATTGACCTAAAATAAATATCACTTTAGCTATTTTGTAATATAAGATAGCTTTTAAACCAGTGTTGCAAATTTTTTTGGCTTTATAGCCAAAAAAATTTGCAAGAGAACATGCAATATAATTAGTATCATATTTTTTTCACACTACTCTCATGGTTAATATTGCATTGATAAATAATTTAAACCACTGCCTCGGGTATAATTATCAATCTTTATGAAATATATGTCGAAATATGGCTCTAAATGGGAAAGATATTTTCGTACTTACTGGGTAGTCCACAAACTATTTCTTCTTCAGTCAGTAGAGCAGGATAACCTAAACATATATATCCATAGTTTTAAGAAAAAAAATATCGATTTCGATATTTTTACCCAAGGCTAGACTATAAGGCAGTTTTGGCGGGAACTTGACCGGCGGCGGATTGCTGCTCCTGTATTATTGTTTAAATAATGGTTTGAAGTGAAGTTTTTAATGGAAAAATGCTTTGATTTTGTGTATTAAATGTCTGCACATGTGAACTATTAGTGGAAACATTGAAACAAGTGCTACGATGTTGACGTGAATCTCAAGATAAGGTGTCTTTAAGTCTGCTTAGGCACCTTGTGAGATATTATCGCCAACTGTCTTCTGGGTCAAGCTGCCATCGAAATCTCCAAAAAAAAACAACGCAATGTGACGCATCAAAATATAGTTAAGCAGTGTACTATAAAGGAGTATTATCACTTGATAGGTACTGAGCTAAATGAAGACATGGCTTGAAGAACAAGCATCTAAGTCAAAACCTTAACAAAAAAAAGTACTAGCGCAATTATAGATTATAAAAAGTATATTTTGTATTTGTTACACTTGTATACTTATTACTTTGTACATACTTTTGTACTAAATACTAATTAAAAGCATAGATAAATATATATGTAGCTTGCTACCTAGTAGCCTAGTACCTACTATTCGTTTACTTCTAGACCTTTTATCTATTATATTTTTATTTCTATTATAAGGAAAAGTTGAAATGGTGCGTTTTAAAAACAGGTTCGTTAAATTTGCTATACTCAAAATCCCTTTTAATAAATTCTAATCATTAAAGGTGATGTATTTTTTTTAGATATATAACTGTTGAAATTACATCTCCTTTGATACCAGAAAATAAGCCTCTAGCTTTAAAATCAAAAATATTTCATGACACAGTACTTGATAAAATACAACAATTACATGGTGACTTTGGAATATCAGCTGTTAGAACTGGTTTCCTAACAAAATATTGCAATGAAAATACTCGAATAGCAATTCTAAGATCAAGACATGGGCCGCACAAGTTCGTCACTAGTAGTTTACCATTCATTACCAAAATTGGTAAACTGGATGTAAGTTTACGAACTCTACATATTGGAGCAACTTTAAAACACAGTTTCAAATATATTCTTAAACATCAAAGAAATTACCTGGATTCAATGTGGTCTAAGTTAAAAACAGATGAAGAAAGAAAAACACTTGAAGCTGCTGTAATGGATTTTACTAAGACAGATGTTTCAATAAATATACAAAATATTGCCTAAAAACATTGAGTTATATGTACTACGTACTAGAGAAGCTATTACAAACAAAAATTGTGTCTTCGCGCATGCATGGGAGACAGTAGAATTGCGCATGCATGAAGACTTTAAAATAAGATATTATAATATAAAATAAATTTAGGAGTTTAATATAAAATACTCTTATTTTAATCTAAACAAACATATTTCTAAATAAAATGTAATAATAATTATCTTATGGAATTCACAAATCTTCAATTTACGCAATACCTATTTAGTTTAGTGTACAGATTGCAGTACAGTTCAGTTGAACATAGTCAATGTTCGGAATGCAAAATCTAGTGCATAGTACATATATATCGATGCCTAAAAATATTAGTTTATTTATTTCTGTAAATGTAAATAACAACATCATAAAATAAACATTAAAATTAATGTAGTGTATTTTTAAAAAGTTGCAGTTAATATTATGCATTTTTTCATAGAAATAAATAAGGATTGCTTCTTACATTTTTGGCTCTTATAAGTTATAAAAATAAATTACTAAAGTTATGTCTATGATTACAATATGTTATTAAAAATCCACAAAATGAAGATTCTGAGAAAATTTTGTATAATTTTTTTTTGCCTACTTTAAACAATAATCTGTCACATACATACTACTACAGTTGCGGAATTTGCATATATAACTTTTTCCTCAAAGTGGATTCAAAAATTGGTACCTGAGCACATTTTAATTTACCACAAAATCCTGAAACTAAATCAGTCACTTTTGTAAATATGTCATATAAATGCTCATGCCTTGCCTTTTTTGCAATCATAGAACACAAAATTTGAATAAAAATTGAACCTTTTTGTTCATCTCTGTATGCTTCATATTCAGGTGCTGTTGCCCAATAAATTAAAAAATCAGACTTTCTTAGAAAATAATTTGGTAATGGTCCGTCAGCCACTAACCGTGAATGTGCATTTTGTTCATCAACTTGACATGCTTGGAGAATTAAAACTTTAGGTATGCCATGTAAGTGGCTTGCTTCATCAGAGTCTAAGAGGTTTTGAATATCTTCAACTTTAACTTTAACAGAGTCTGCTGCGTATACATGTCCTCTTATTCCATGGGATAATATACACAACACAAAAATACTGTCCTCTGGACAAACATCATTTAGTATAACATATTTTATAAATTTAAACATATCTTTATGATTAACGTTGCAACAGCTTCTAATTTTGAAATTCAATGATGACATTGTACGTTCTAAGGCTAATTGATCTTTTGTGGAGCCCAAGCGATTGTCCAGTACATATGTTTGAATGTTACCTTCAATACTTTCTTTAGATGGATGAAATTCTTCCTGATTAATTATACAACAAATACCAATTCTATTAGTATTTTTAATAGGGTATGAATCTGTAGCAAATTTTGTGTCAGATTTTAAAATTACATCTGAGACATCTTCAGCATGCAATTGACATACATCTAAGAAGTTTTCCTCTAATTTATCATCAAGTTTGGTTTTAGGATCTGCTGCATAAGTTGACATTACTGGAGTACTATTTATTTGTGGAGAAGGCAAACTAGAGTCATTATTTACTTTATTTTGTATTTCTCTAATTTCTGATGCTATTTGTTTAAATCCAGAAATATTCTCAACAATCATTATAAGTTTTTCGACTTCACATTTATTATTACGATATGTTCTTTCAATATTATTTTGACTGAGAGTAATGAACTTCTGACACATAAGTTGTAAGATTATTAACTCACAGACTTCATACTCCGAAGTATCAATATCATATGTTAAAAGTGCTTTCTTTAATCTCAAAAGATTATTTGCATTTATATTTTCACATAATTTATAAAGTGCCTTTTTCATAGGATTCACATAGATACATACATTTAAATTGCGAGGCAAATACCGTTCTTTGACATGAGAGACATTGAAACCTAATTTCCTAATTACATGGTACAGACGGCAAATAGTTAGTGCCTCCAAAAATTCATATCTCCATGTAGGACTAGTTTGAACATTTAAAGCCCAATCATATAACAAATTCATATTGTTATAACTTACATCTTTTGAAACCCGTTGAAAAACAATCAGTCTTTGCAAGGCAGTATCAGGCACTTTATATAATAAAAAGACCAGCGAAATCATATCATAGGGATCTACATCTTTTTGGATGTCTAAAATGACTTCTAGATTTATAGTGCGAATTTTGTCAAAAAAATATTCTTGCTGATGTTTTTCTGCATCCCGTCGTAGCATGGTTTTTAAGTTTTAAGTATCAAATCAAATCACAAACACTCAATAATACTTCACAGGCTACAAAAGATTCCAAATGTAGACTTAGATGTAAATAATAATGTATAAGTTTACCACAGAACACAATTACTCTGTACTTTAGTTTTTTAGGTGTTTTCCTATTATGACGTAACTTCGAACTTATCACCTAGTTTTAAGAATTCTTGACAAGAATTATACTTTGCTCAGAACTTACAACATTGACTAAAGCATAGAAGTAAGCAAATATGCTGAAATAAAGTAACTATATTTCGGTTCATCAACTTCTATTAAAGAACAAAGAACATTAGAGTGAGTTAAATGATTCATAATTCATATTTCGTAATTTGTTTTACTCTCAGAACACAATTACGTTTTACTCAATACTCAAATTTTACTTTTTTTTTATGTCTACAAATAATATACTTTACTGCTTAACCACATTATAGCTTGCTACATATATATTTATCTATGTGCTTAACTGCTTTGCTAACACACTTCTTCTTAATAACTGGCTTTACGGCTCTGGGATCTAGCCCTTCTGAGCCTGCAGTTACAATATTATATTATAATAATTAATCTTCATAGTATACTGCTTCACAATATGTTGATGCGTCACATTGTGCAGCCCTTGGGAGATTTTAACGGTAACTTGAGCCAGCAGACAGCTGACGGTTGGCGATGGTATCTCAAGGCGTCTAAGCAGACAGGCACCTTATTTTGAGAATCACATCACTATCAGAGCACTTGTTGCACAGTTTCCACTAATAGTTCATATGCGCAGACACTTAATACACAAAATCGCACCACTTTTACATATCAAAGTCCACTTCAAACCATTATTTAAACAATAATACAGGAACAGCAAACCGCCGCCGGTCAAGTTCCCGCCAAAATCCTTTGCTTACACATTGGGTTGTAGACCACAGACTACTACGATGCTTGCGCATTTATTTTGGCATTGGCTGTCATTTGAATAACTGTCAATGTCATAATGTAACTTTGAGCATAGAAAATAGAGGAGCTGCCAAGAGCGTCTATATGTTTTATTGATTATACAAATATGGTTATATTCGACATTGAACTGTCAATATGCTACCTATCTCTTTTTCACTCAGCGATGTGTAAGTCTAAGTGTCATTCATAAATGAAACAGATAATAGAAATTGTTTTGTATTCTGGTAAACATTTTTAAGATGACGTCATTAACCCCCCCCCTTGTGGCCGATTCCGCCATTTATTGTTTCAAATTTGCTGTTATAAAAAGTCGTTTGATATTTCTTAATTTGAAAATTTTGCGAATTTTCAAACAGTTTATAGTGACCTTTCCAATTCATTATAAAGTACGAAGATGACTAAGTGTTGTGTAAGAGGCTGTGCCTCAAAATATAGTCAAAAATCACGCGAACTATCATTTCATATGTGAGTGATTTATTTTTTTGCTGTAAATATAATGTAAAAACGTAGGTAATATCTTTTGCGACAGTAAGTAGATGGATGTAATTATTTACCCTAAACCTTTAATTCATATTATTTAATTACTTTTTATCATTCTTTGCGTATCTATAAAATTTTGTTGTTCGTAACTAGTGATGTTACGATGCTAACAATAAATTCTTTCAAGGACATAATTTATTAAAGTTTTTCTTGATTTATTCTGTCGTATTATGTCAAAAAGTTTTGGGTTATGCATTGCATTATTTCGGTGTCATGGGTCTGAGCAGTGACCATTAATGATTAACTAAATTATACGGAAACGGAGTTACATTCATGTCAGGTAGGACCTACGGTACCTACATAATAAAAGTGAAGTAAAGCAACAAAGATTACATAAAGTACAATATAGCGCCTGTAAGTAATCTCTCTCTGTAGGCAAACATGCAAATACCTCAGAGACTGGACATTATTACTTGACTTATTATATATTGTTTAATTATATATTGTATATATTAGCCCATCCGTGCCTTCTAATAATGCAATATACATAAATATTAAGCATATTTTATCTATAATTTACCTTAAGTCACCTTTTATAACAACCATGTTGTAGTTTAATAACGTAATATATATATATATATATTATAAGTATTTTATAAAATATTACGTTATTAAACTTCTTTACATTGTTAACACAAATTTAAATTTATTTATTTTCCTACTCCATCCATCCATCCATTACATACTACATATTACATTACATTCATGCCACAGCTACCCCGCTTGGCAGGCGGTTTAGCATCCGCAGATTTTTATTATTTTGTGTCTACTTCACTTGGCCTCTCTTGATTTTGTTCCCGAAATCCAGAAATCACCCATGCTAAGCCGGAGTGAATATAAAATAAAAAATATTTCACGGCAAATCATTTATTTAATATGATAATTTGTAACCACAAGTGCATCTTAAAATATAATAATATTCAAATCACAGAAATTCTAAAGTAGGTACTTTTTACTTCAAAAGATATTAGCTTAACCGGTCACACGAAACTGGTGCACAAGCCAGAATAGTAGAAAAAAAATGGGGGGATGCTACTAGCTCAAAAAGAGAACTCCATCCTGTTTAACCATCCTGGCTTTAGATAGTAACTTATTAGCCCAGAAGTAAAGCTTATTCTGTATAATATTAAGTCAGAGCAACTAGCTTGCTAATTTACAACTTACAAGCACGAGTTGCTATTCGTGCATTAAGTATCAAAATCGTCTTCAAACTATTATTAAACGATAAAACTGGAGCAGCAATCATCTGGCGGTTAAATTCACGCGAAATCCCCCTAGCCTCCCTAATCGTTAGAGAAAATATAATTTTGCATATTTAAAAATAAATAAAAATACATATAAGTGTTATTAAATTTTAAAAGTTGATTGACTTCACATCTCTAAAAAATGGGCGGAGCTTACAGCGTCCGCCATTTATTGTTTCAATTTGACACGATTTTTTTGTAGGCTTGCCATCTCCTCTATTTTCTGTGCTCAAAGTAATGTAATGTCATTTCCTCAATGATACATTTATATATTTTTTAATAAGGTTATTTATTGGTTTGGATGCTTGATGAATTTTGATTCTTTAAGCCATGTCTTCATCATAGACTAATATGATGCTTAATGCCTTCATTTATCTCAGTATAAAGTGGTAATAAAAATATTCCTTTGTAGTACTGCTTTTTTCACAATATGTTGGTGCCTTACATTGCGTAGCCTTTGGGAGATTTTGATGGCAATTTAAGCCAGCAGACAGTCGGCGATAGTATCTCAAGGCGCCTAAGCACCTTACCTTAAGATGTACATCATCATCGGGGCACTTGTTTCACCGTTTCCATTTATAGCGCAGACATTTAATATACAAAATCGCACCACTTTTACATACCAAAATCTACTTCAATCCATTATATATACTACTGTTACGGACGGCGAGGCGAGCGGCCGCCCCGTCGCCCCTTCATACCCCGTTACGCCCAGCATACCCCGCACACCGCCCGAATATCACGCGATGCCGTCGACCAATCAGCGCGCGGCACACCCTTTTTGGGAATATATGACGGGCGTTTTGGGCTGCGAGTTGTTCATAGATAATACACTAGAGTTGTTCATTTCGACAGCGGCATTTCAAGAGGAAACATCAAGAGAGGAACATCAAGAGAGGAACCTCAAGAGAGAAAAGGCAAGAAGCAAGACTCCATAGAAGACTCCCTCCTGTGCATAGTTTATTAACGCCGCTTGTAAATAGTTGTAATATATAATTAATTACCTGTGACTGTCGATGGTAAGAGTGAGCCCCATCATCATCATCATCATCATCATCATTACAGCCCTTCACAAGTCCACTGCTGAACATAGGCCTCCCCCAAAGAATGCCACAAAGCACGGTCCTGAGCCACCTGCATCCATCGACTTCCTGCATATCTTACCAGGTCGTCACTCCATCTAGTGGGGGGACGCCCTACACTTCGCCTGCCGGTACGAGGCTGCCACTCGAGAACCTTTCTTCCCCATCGGTTGTCGGTTCTTCGAGCTATATGGCCGGCCCATTGCCACTTCAGCTTACTAATCCGTTGGGCTATGTCGGTCACTCTGGTTCTACTGCGGATATCCTCATTTCTGAGTTTATCACGCAGAGAAACTCCGAGCATAGCCCTCTCCATAGCTCGCTGAGCGACCTTGAGCTTCCTCATCCGGCCAGCAGTGAAGGACCACGTCTCAGTTCCGTATGTCATCACTGGCAACACGCACTGGGTGTACAGTCTCGTTTTCAAGTTTTGAGGTATACCTGACGAGAAGATGTGCCGTAATTTCCCGAACGCTGCCCAACCGAGTTGAATCCGTCGATTGACCTCTCGGTCGAAGTTGGACTTACCTAGTCGGACTATTTGTCCCAGGTAAACATACTCGTCAACAACTTCGAGCTTAGTGTTCCCAACAACTACCGGCATAGGTGTGACATGGACATTAAACATGATCTTTGTTTTGTCCATGTTCATCTTAAGACCTATCCGTTGGGAAACACTATTGAGGTCATTGAGCATAGTGCTTAGGTCCTCCAGCGATTCTGCCATAAGGACTATATCGTCGGCAAATCGAAGGTGAGTGATGTACTCGCCATTGATGTTGATACCGTATCCTTTCCAGTCCAGAAGCTTGAAAACGTCTTCCAATGCAGCGGTGAAGAGTTTCGGGGATATGACGTCACCCTGTCTTACACCTCTCTGCAATTGGATAGGTTTCGTACTCTGGTTCTGTACTCGGATAGCCATCGTAGCCCTACTGTACAAGCACTTCAACACTTCGATATACCGACAGTCAACTTGGCATCGCTGAAGGGACTGCAGCACCGCCCAAATTTCGACGGAATCAAAGGCTTTCTCATAGTCCACATACGCCAGACATAGTGGCAAATTGTACTCCTCGGACTTCTGTACAATTTGCCGAAGGGTATGTATGTGGTCTATGGTGCTAAAGCCTTTTCGGAAACCGGCTTGTTCGGGAGGCTG